CTTCCTCCTCCTCCTCCTCCTCCTCCTCCTCCTCCTCCTCCTCCTCCTCCTCCTCCTCCTCAACTCCTTCTCCTCCTCCTCCTCCTCCTCCTCCTCCTCCTCCTCCTCCTCCTCCTCCCCTCCCCCCTCCTCCTCCTCTCCTCCTCCTCCTCCTCCTCCCTCCTCCTCCTCCTCTCTCTTTCTGCTCCCTGCTCCTCCTCCGCCTCCTCCTCCTCCGCCTCCGTCTCCGCCCCGCCTCCTCCTCCTCCTCCTCCTCGACTTCCTCCACTTCCTCCTCCTCCTTTTCCTCCTGCTCCTCCTCCTCCTCTTCCGCCTCCTCCTCCTTCTCCTCCCCTTCCTTCTCCTCCCCCTCCTTCTCCTCCTCCTCCTCCGATTCGGGACAACATGATCTTATGTTGTTTTAAACCCGCTCGGAAAACAAAAAAAAAAACAGGCAACGAGTGAGACATCCATGGCCGCATGCAACCTCCTCCTCTTCCTCCTCCTCCTCCTCTTCCTCCTCCCCCATCCCGTTCCTCCTTCGCCCCCTCCTCCTCATCCTCCTCATCCTCCTCATCCTCTTCCTCCTCCTCGTCCTCCTCCTCCTCCTCCTCCTCCTCCTCCTCCTCCTCCTCCTCCTCCTCTCGCATTGAGGGCAATGTGTGGTGACGTGTTTCTAAACCCGTCCGGAGTGCGTGGGCAGCATTGTGGTGCAGGAGACCATTTGTCGAAAAGGACCCCAACAGGACCTCCATTGAGCCAAAACGGTTCCAATTCGACTTGCCCCACCTAATTTCCGACGACTCATGCAACAAATGCTCCAGCTTTACATGCACCCCCAAACGCACAAGCCGAAAGCCGCAAGCCGAGAGCCGCGATAGCGGTGGGGCCGTGGCGGCGCGAGGGCAGCAGAGGGCGGGCAGGCGACCGGGGGGGACGGGGCTGGTGGGGATACTCTTTGTCGCAGCCGCAGGCGAAGGCGCCGGCGGCGTCACAAGTCAGGTCGGGCTACGAGCAAAGCTAAATCACCTAGCGTGCGCACCGGCAGCTGCAGGACTACCGCCGGGGGACGCTGGGCTGCGCCGAGGGCTGCGGCTGCAGGAGCTGCCGGGAGCTGCCATGCAAGCGCGCGGGCAACCCAGGGGCGGTGCCACTAGGAAGAGCATGAATTGAACCTTGTCGAACCAGGCGCCAGAAGAAACTGGTGAGAATACTTTTTGGTCAACAGGCTCGCGAGGCGAGTCGAAAGCCGACCCAACATAGTCGGGCCGCGGGTAAGCAGCAAGAAGAAAAAACAGGCGAAGCGAGCGACCGGGCAGCCACTCAGGAGAAGAGGCAGAGACGATACTCCCAAACCCTGTGGCGTGGAAGCCCCGGTGGCGACCAGCAAGTAAACGCAGCCAAAATGGCGCGGCGGCGCGACCATAATCACGCAGAGATCGAACGCTCGGTGTGAGTCAGGCAAACATCGTCGAAGACGAACTGGGCCGACAGGCACCCCCAGACGACATCCGTGAAGCAGGCGACACCAATGCCGAAACATCGTGTCGGCACCGGAGCGAAGAGGGGCAACCTCAACACCGAAAAGACTGCAAACGGCAATACAACCTGTAACACTTGTCAAAAGCGAAGTTCATGCCGGAGGACGTCCGCCAACGACCGTACAGAGCCACACTTGCCGAACCCGAGGTCCAGGTACCGTAAGGTAGGCAGCGTAGCGGGAGACCCACTGGAACCTCCCGGGCTGGGGGCCGACACCAGCCAGGAGCAGGCCAGGGGGCACCTGACCTCGACTGCGACGCAGCACCGTTCCCTGCGTGAGTCCTTGCATGACTTCCAGACCAAGGGGGAACCTGACCTCAGATAATGCAGCGCAGCTCCATTCCCTGTGTGAGCCCTTGCATGAGTTCAAGAAAAAGACTGCAAACGGCAGTAACACCTGTAACTCTTGTCGAAAGCGAAGTCCATGCAGGAGAACGTCAGCCAACGAGCGTACAGAGCCACACTTGCCGAACCCGAGGTCCAGGTACCGTAAGGTAGGCCAGTGTAGCCAGAAACCCACTGGAACCTCCCGGGCTGGGGGCCGACACCAGCCAGGAGCAGGCCAGGGGGCACCTGCCTCGACTGCGACGCAGCACCGTTCCCTGCGTGAGTCCTTGCATGACTTCCAGACCAGGGGGGGGCCTGACCTCAGATAATGCAACGCAGCTCCATTCCCTACGTGAGCCCTCGCATGAGTTCAAGAAAAAGACTGCACACGGCAGTAAACCCTGTAACACCTGTCGAAAGCCAAGTCCATGCAGGAGAATGTCGGCAAACGAGCGTACAGAGCCACACGGTCGAACCCGAGGTCCAGGTACCGTAAGGTAGGCAGTGTAGCGAAAGACCCACTGGAACCTTCGGTGTCAGTAGGAGCTGGCCAGGGGGCACCTGACCACAGCGAATGTGACGCAAGACCACTCCTTGTGTGAACCCTTGCATGATTCCAAACCACGTGGGCGCCATCAGGAAACAGTATTAGGCAGCAGACCCCAGCCGCCAGCCAACAGGAGGGAAAGCACCCGGGTGCAGGAGGAAAAGGGGGGGAGTGCACGCCAGGCACGGTAGGCACCCTGGTGTCGCAGTTAACCGCTGCAACATAATGATGCAGGAGGGGATGGAAGGAAGTGCGCGCCGGGCACAGGCAGGAGGAGAGGAGTGGAAGTGCACGCCAGGCACGGTAGGCACCCCGGTGTGGCAGCTAACCGCTGCAGCGTTCGGATGCAGGAAGGGAGGGAGGGAAGTGCAAGCCAGGCACATGGTGTGAGAGGAGGAAACCCACCATAACCCTGTGCATACCCGCTGCAGCATTAGGATGCTGGAGGGGAGGAAAGGAAGTGCACGCCAGGCACACGGTGTGAGAGGAGAGGAGGACAACGGTAGAACATTTACTCGAGCAGTTGCTGACTACGCCAATCGTGGCTGTAACATGTCGGACCGCGCTGACTATGCCAACCATGACTGTGCCAACCCTGGCTATGCCAACCCTGACTGTGCCAACTAAGCTCCTGTGGGAAGCGACACATTCTTATCGATTATATACCCTGTGCGCCTGGGCACCCCAGGTAGCTGAGGTGAGAGTACCAGGCCACGTTGCCGTGGTGTTTGTCCCAATGGTACTGGTTAGCGACGTGCTGCTCGATCCCGTTAAGCTGGAACCCACGTATCTGGACACTGGTGTGCTCAACAAAATCGTGCTGCACGACTCCCTGGTGAACGTTGCCGTGCTGCTTGTCGCGGTGGGGCTGGTCAACGACGTGCCCCTCGACTCCGTTGTGCTGGAGCCCGCGGTGTTCATCAACGTCGCGCTACTAGTCTCATTGTTGCCGTTGCCGTGCCGTCGTTTGTCTTGGCGGTGCTGGTCGGCGACGTGCTGCTCAGCCCCGTTGTGCTTGGGCCAGTGGTGTTGGGCCTTCTTGTGCTCGTCAGCGTAGCGCTGCTCGTCTCACTTGTCTCCGCGGTGCTGGTAAGCGGATGCAGGGACCGCAGGAGGAGAAGAGCGACTAACCGTCGCAGCCTTGGAAGAAAAACAGGAAGGGGAGGTGGAGGCAGCCTGCCACGGTGGGCCGTTGACTCCATTGTACGTGCCACTTCCCATAACCAGTTGCACGTGCCATCCATACTACCAAAGCCTGGTGAAAGAGAACACAGCCGCAAGGCGGCGAGGACTTCCCAGTATGGGGAGAGCAGCACACCAGGCTAGCTCCCAGGGCTGTGGTAGGCACGCCAGGCCTAGAGTGGAGACAATCTCTGCTCACGCAGACACGTTTCCCCCTTCAACCCGCTTCCCTCCAGACCCGCCTGCCACGCTTCGGGCCGGACGAGAGGGGGCACTGCCAAGGGGGGCGGGGCAGTGAATCTGCTCACGCAGCTGGCTTTCCTGGGCGCCTGATGGCGACGCTGGGAGGCGCCAATTGCATAGAGGAAGAGCGCCCGGCGGTGGGGCCGAAGCCAGCTGCTCGCAGAAGATTCCATGAAACCCCTGTCTGAAGTGGCCCGGGGACGCACACAAATGAAGAGACACAAAGCCCAGGATTACCCCATATTTTCCCATCTGTTCTGGGGTGTCGTCTTCCCCACCGTTTCCCATATTCTCCAATCTTTTCTGGGGAATCGACGGTTACTTGTGTATGTGTATCTGGGGGAACGAAGAACGACATGAATAGAACAACTCGGAGGTCCGCGCGGAGTTCTCGGATCGGCGCTGGAACGCCCTCCCTGACGCGCGGAGCGCGCCAGGGGCGGCGCCGGAGGCGCAGCCAGAGGGGTCCAGAGCGGATCCGAGAAATCCGCGCGGACCTCCGAGTTGTTCTATTCATGTCCTTCTTCGTTTCCCTAGTATTGTTCCCCTCATGACCTTTTTCTGTCCGCCCCGCTCGTCCGACGCCGGCCCCCCCTCCAGGGCTCCTCCCCGTGCGCTCGGCCTCGCCGTGGCGCACCCGTGGCGGCTCTGCTGCCCGCGCACCCGTGGCTCCTCGTCCCTTCGCTGTAGGCCCGGCTGCCCTGGCTCGTCCGACCCGAGCCCCGAGGCCATCGCCCCCGCCCCTCGCCTCCACTCCGAGGGGGAGGAGGAGGGGGAGGAGGAGGAGGAGGAGGAGGAGGAGGAGGAGGAGGAGGAGGAGGAGGAGGAGGAGGAGGAGGAGGAGGAGGAGGAGGGGGGAGGAGGAGGAGGAGGAGGAGGAGGCGGAGGAGGAGGAGGAGCAGGAGGAGGAGGAGGAGGAGGAGGAGGAGGAGGAGGAGAAGTCCCCCCCAGGCCGGGGGCGGCGAAGTGGCCGGGAGAGGGCGCCCTCTGGTGCCCTATGGGCCACTAGGCTCCGCGCATGGCACCCCCCCCCGACGCGCGGCGCGGAGTTCTCCTCGCGCCCTGCGGCCCTCGCGCCGCCCCCTCCCGGAGGACCCGGCGCACGATTTGACCTTCCCGCTCCCGCCGGGGGGACCTCCTGCACCTGCCGGTTGCGCGCTTCGGGGGGCGGGGGCGGGGCCTCTCCCAGGCCTCCTTCAGCACCTGGGTGTTCTGCCTTCGGGGGGGGGGGGCTGGGCAGCGCAGGCGGGCGCCCGACGCTGCCACGGACAGGGGCGCGGAGGTGGCGGGAGCGGGGGGCGAGACGGGGGGGGGGCCGCGGAGGAGCGCGCATCGCCACTGCGCGCCTGGGCACGTCGCCGACGGAGGTGGCAGGTGGCAGCGGGAGCCGTGGTGAATGGGACAGAGCACGGCAGCACGGCGTCTTCATGGGCGCAGTCCTGCACGCAGTGGAGGGACAAGAGCGCGTGCCCGAGGGGGCGCGGCGGCAGGTGGGCGCCCACCCGCCACTCCTGCGAAGTGCGCATGGCATCAACAACCACGATATCAGATAGCACGTACGCATGGCCTGAACTCGGACGATGATGGGCGCGCACTTTGGCAGCGCGCCCACCCGTCAGAGAAAGCGTTACAATTCGTCTGTTTGGGACCGAAGTGACATTCGACCCAGCTGGGCACGAGAATCCAGCTGTGTACGAGATCTCGCAACCCTCCCCAGACCTCCGACGTCTTATTTCGCAACGAGGTCTGGAGCACCTCCCTGGCGGGACCTCTTCTTCATCCCGCGAGCTGCTCTTTGACGGCCCCGGGGCCCGGCGAAGGCCCCCGCAGGCCGAAAGCAGCAACCGAAAGCGCCCCGTCGTGCTTGCTGTCGCGACGCGCGCTCCTTGCGGGGTGTGCCTTCGGGCAGCCACAGGCGAGGAATCGGCAATTGGGGGTCGATGCGCCCGCCCCCCCCCCACCCATGAGCCTATCTCCCAAAGGTGCCCCTCGTAACCGAACAGGAACCTTCGAAGGGCACGCGCCGGCGTCACCCCCGATTCCGGCGCCCGCCCCCGCCTGTCGCCCGACCCGAACGGAAACCTTCGAGGCGCGCGCGCCGACGGCTCGCCCTCGCCCGGACGTCCGCTCCCCGTGCATTCTCCGGTCTCGCGCGTGCCTTTGTGTCACAAGATCCAGGATGCTCCAAGCGATGGTCCTCGCCTAAAACACACGCAGGCGATGCACAACTCTTTGCTCAAAACCAAAGAAGCAGGAGGACCTCCCGCCCCGCCCCGCCCGCCCTGCACCGCGTGGCCGCCAGGCCCGAGGGCCACGGCACTCCCTGGGCATCCCGCCCCGCGCACTCGACGAGCGACGTCTGCACACTGCGGCGGCCGGGCCCCGGGGGGCCTGGCGGAGCAGAACCAGCTCGGCAGAGACGGACGGCGACAGGTCGATCGTGAAACTGTCGATCTATCGAACTACCCGCTCTGAGCTATCGTTGCAGACAGTTTCTCCAAATCAGGCTTCGATAGCTTCGATTGATCGAGGCGGGCCTCTACGTGATAAGAAGGCGCCCGCAAAGCATCGATCCCAGAGTGTAACCTCGATCCACCTCCACCGACGAGCTCTCCTCGCTTGGACCTCCGCTCTGCTCATCGATCTCCAACCCCCCAATCCCCCTCCTCTCGCCTCCCCCGCCAACCTCGATCCTGCTTCGAGCCTGCAAGATCTCGGCACTCACTCCTCGGCCCCCCGCCCTTCCGACCTCTGCCGCGCGGTTTCCAGGGGGCCTGGGCCACTCCTGAGCGCAGCCGACCACTGCGCGCCGCCAACCACTCCGGCTCCCCTCCCGCCCTCCTCCTCCTCCTCCTCCTCCTCCTCCTCCTCCTCCTCCTCCTCCGTCCCATCCTCCTCCGTCCCATCCTCCCCCCCTTCTCTTCCTCCTCCTCCTCCTCCTCCTCCTCCTCTTCCGTCCCATCCTCCCCCTCCCTCCTCTTCTCCTCCTCCTCCTCCTCCTCCCCATCTCCTCCTCCTCCTTGTCCATCTCCTCCTTGTCCATCTCCTCCTCCTCCTCCTCCTCCTCCTCCTCCTACCTCCTCCTCCTCTCGGAGGAGGGCCAGGCGAGTCAGCGGCGGCTCTCCCGCCCGGCCCAACGCCTCGCTCAGAGGCAGTTCCCGTAGGCGTCGCTCCCGGGCTCCATCCCGGCCCACTTCTCTCCGCGGCGGGCCCAGCCGTTGCTGGGCCTGTTTTCCACCACCACCACCATAAGTTGGAAGGGGAGGGGTTCCTCCGCCGCCTCCTCCTCCGCCTCCTCCACCTCCTCCTCATCCTTCTCCTCTTCGTCCTCCTCCTCCTCCTCCTCCTCCTCCTTCCCCCTCCAACTTACGGTGGTGGTGGTGGAAAACCTGCCCATCAGCCGTGGCGACGCGAAGCCCCAGGAGGCCCCAGAAAGAGGGCAGAAAAACCGTCGCCAGGAGCCCCACTCTTGAGTCGGGCATGTCCTGCTACGGGGGGATCTTCGACGAACGACTTCACAAAAGAAGAGTCAACACATACGCAAGCCGCAACAAAAGGCACGCACAACCATGGCCCACCTCCCTTCAGGTCGGGCATGTCCCCGTACAGGCAGATTTGGGAGGAAAGCAGGAAAGCAAAAAGAACATGCTCAAACACAGCCAAACCAATCCTCAAGAAGTCGTCCCCGAAATATCTGTTTGACTGCTCTTGCACCCTCCTCCTGCAGGGGAACAGGCCCGCCTTGACCCTGCGTGCCTTCGCGCACCTCGCACCACCACGAGCCACGAGCGCCGCGCCCCCCCTTGCTGCCCCCCTCTGGACGGCAGCCGCTCGGGGTACCCCCCTACGCTTATCAAGAAACCCAGAGTACTCAAAAAGTCGTCCCCAGACTATTGTTTGACTATTTTTGTATATTCCTCCTGCAGGGGGACATGCCCGATTTAAACCTACCTTCGCGCACTCTCGCCCAGCTACAAGCTCGAAGAGGACATGGGGAGTCGGGCACGAAGAGCAGGAGAAAAACGTGCGGGAAACCCACTGTGCTGTGCCCCTCAGCAGCCCTCGAAAGTGGCGACAGTTTCACAGATCGCAGCCCCCCCAGGGATGGCGAGGTCTAATTTGAGTCTGCGGTGGGTACCCACTGTGCTGGGCCCCTCAGCAGCCCTCGAAAGTGGCGACAGTCTCACAGATCGCAGCCCCCCAGGGATGGCGAGGTCTAATTTGAGTCTGCGGTGAGTACCCGCTGTGCTGGGCCCCTCAGCAGCCCTCGAAAGTGGCGACAGTTTCACAGATCGCAGCCCCAGAGGGATGGCGAGGTCTAATTTGAGTCTGCGGTGAGTACCCAGTGCGCTGGACCCCTCAGCAGGCCTCGAAAGTGGCGACAGTTTCACAGATCGCAGCCCCCCAGGGATGGCGAGGTCTAATTTGAGTCTGCGGTGGGTACCAGCTGTGCTGGGCCCCTCAGCAGCCCTCGAAAGTGGCGACGGTTTCACAGATCGCAGCCCCCCAGGGATGGCGAGGTCTAATCTGAGTCTGCGGTGAGTACCCACTGTGCTGTGCCCCTCAGCAGCCCTCGAAAGTAGCGACAGTTTCACAGATCGTTGCCCCAGAGGGATGGCGAGGTCTAATTTGAGTCTGCGGTGAGTACCCAGTGCGCTGGGCCCCTCAGCAGCCCTCGAAAGTGGCGACAGTTTCACAGATCGCAGCCCCCCAGGGATGGCGAGGTCTAATCTGAGTCTGCGGAGATTACCCACTGTGCTGTGCCCCTCAGCAGCCCTCGAAAGTGGCGACAGTTTCACAGATCGCAGCCCCCCAGGGATGGCGAGGTCTAATCTGAATCTGCGGTGAGTACCCACTGTGAGGGGCCCCTCAGCAGCCCTCGAAAGTGGCGACAGTTTCACAGATCGCAGCCCCCAGGGACGGCGAGGTCTAATCTGAGTCTGCGGTGAGTACCCACTGTGCTGTGCCCCTCAGCAGCCCTCGAAAGTGGCGACGGTTTCACAGATCGCAGCCCCCCAGGGATGGCGAGGTCTAAGTTGAGTCTGCGGTGAGTACCCACTGTGCTGGGCCCCTCAGCAGCCCTCGAAAGTGGCGACAGTTTCACAGATCGCAGCCCCCCAAGGATGGCGAGGTCTAATTTGAGTCTGCGGTGAGTACCCACTGTGCTGTGCCCCTCAGCAGCCCTCGAAAGTGGCGACAGTTTCACAGATCGCAGCCCCCCAGGGATGGCGAGGTCTAATTTGAGTTTGCGGTGAGTACCCACTCTCCTGGGCCCCTCGGCAGGCCTCGAAAGTGGCGACAGTTTCACAGATCGCAGCCCCCCAGGGATGGCGAGGTCTAATTTGAGTCTGCGGTGAGTACCCACTGTGCTGTGCCCCTCAGCAGCCCTCGAAAGTGGCGACAGTTTCACAAATCGCAGCCCCCCAGGGATGGCGAGGTCTAATTTGAGTCTGCGGTGAGTACCCACTGTGCTGTGCCCCTCAGCAGCCCTCGAAAGTGACGACAGTTTCACAGATCGCAGCCCCCCAGGGATGGCGAGGTCTAATCTGAGTCTGCGGTGAGTACCCACTGTGCTGTGCCCCTCAGCAGCCCTCGAAAGTGGTGACAGTTTCACAGATCGCAGCCCCCCAGGGATGGTGAGGTCTAATTTGAGTCTGCGGTGAGTACCCACTGTGCTGGGCCCCTCAGCAGGCCTCGAAAGTGGCGACAGTCTCACAGATCGCAGCCCCCCAGGGATGGCGAGGTCTAATTTGAGTCTGCGGTGAGTACCCACTGTGCTGTACCCCTCAGCAGCCCTCGAAAGTGGCGACAGTTTCACAGATCGCAGCCCCCCAGGGATGGCGAGGTCAAAGGCAGGGGGGAAGAGAGGGACGGGAGGCGGGAAGGAAGGAAGGTTCGCGCGAGCAGTGCTCTATTCAAAACGAGAGCCCAACGCAAGAGGGTTGGGAAAAAACACCAGCTACGGCAGACCTGGCTTGGTGATTCTCGCCAAATCAAAGGCTCCGGGGCCCTACCACTAGCCGGGTCTCCTTGCCTGGGGCCCTGGCTGTACCCGACGGAGGGCCGCTCTGGCCTCGACCGGCGGCTGCCCGCAGGAGTGGCCCCCGGCGCACGGGGTGGCCTTATGTGGGGCGCACAGAGACATATCACTACTGTATGTCCTCCTTGGAGGCGCGCGTCCGACCCGAACATGTAGTGTACCCGTCTTGTAATGGAACTCGTTTCCCGAGCGGCGTGGCCAGAAAGCGCCCGCCAGGACGCACGTACTACAAGATTTCTCGGTGCGCGCGTCTCCCCTGGGGGGCGACGCACACATAGTATTAGTATATCGGGATGACGTCGATGTTTGGTACGCGGCTTCACGGGGCCGCGTGGAGGCCAAATCCACGCGCGCTGTGGCCATGGTGCGGGGGGCCAGTTCCAACCCGCGACCCCAGCACTCCCCACCCTCCCCCCCTGGCCGTTCTGCGCCCCCGATCCGTCGTGGACGGCCCTGGGCCTGAAGGCGGCCCCCTGGAGGGCGAAACGAA